TCGTTAAGAAACGAACACGAACAATGACTTCACGAACAATTTCAAATAAACTAAATTTCAAACGAACCGAACACGAACATAAGCTCTGTTCGTGTTAGGTTCGTTTACACGCCTACAAAAGGGGATGGATAAAATGCATAATTGCAAGAAATGATTGTGTTTATTGCAAAATAATTAACGAGACTCACTTTACATGGAAAAAAAATGATTTAAGGCTACAATAAAAAAAAAAAGGCATTTACGTACGTACCACACAATTACTATGTATTTACATATTTATCAACTAAACTTTATTTTTACATTTATATCACCCAAATCTTTCATATCATATAAAATATATCACGTTTAAATTTTAACGAGTGAAATACAACTTTTCATGTATAGGTAAGAAGACGTATGTCAAAACTGAAGTCAAGTTGTTAGATATGTAAATGCACAAGAATTAAGTTGGTATGTATGTAAATCATCCCAAAAATAATACAACAACGACGACGACAAAGCCATCCCACTACGTGGGGTCGGCTACATGAATCCTTTAACACTGTCATTGCCGATCCCAAAATAGGATGTGAAAAGTGGAGGGTTGTGTTAGTTAGTCGACAGCCAGCGTAAAACTTGTCGAAAAAATCATGAAATCCAAAAAATAAAAAAAATTAAAAAAAAAATCTACACTCTCATGAAGCAGCAGCAGCAGCTGGATGGGAGGTCACCTGGGAATGGGGTTCCTTCAAGTGAAGAATGCTTGAGAGTCCCCATGATTTGGATTGCTTCTCTATCTCACTAAGCTTCTGCTTTAGAAGTTCCAACTCTGAGGCCATATCCTCCACCTTTATCCTTAGTGCCTTCAAAATAAATAAATATCAAAGAATGAACCATTAAATAAGTGCTGGTGTACAAGGATTTATTTGGGGATGTTAAAGTGGCTTGTAAAAGTAGTTGTAGAATTACTGTAGGAAAACTAGTTATAAATTTTTATTTTTATGGGAAAAACAATTACATGCATAGTACTCAAAATATTGCTATTTACAAAAATTAAGACTATAAAATTAAGACTATCTTTCATCCATTTTTTTCAAATTCTCACTCAAATATCAGATTTTACAATAAAAACCCAACCCATGCTTTTCATTTTTGTCAAATTCACAATAGTTTAATCATGCCACACATAAATGAATGGTTTTGTTAGTTCAAAAAATCATATGAGTGCTAGTTTTGTAAAAAGAATGTTTCAAGTGTCGTGTACGTAATTGTCTCTAGATTTTTTTTAGATGAACCATATTCTAATAAATCTGATTGTGAGGAACTACTCTTATCATAGAAATTTCTAAAAAAAATAAAAAAAAATGTAACTAAGGCCTTGTTTGTGGCGGCTTAATGCTTGAGGTACGATCTAAGGCTGCTAGGACTGCGTTTGATAAAAGCGGTGCATCCGCTTAATTGGATGATTTGGAGGAAACGTGGGTAGCAGATTTGACCCTGCGGCCCACGTTCCTTTGCTAATAGTTGATGGGGCTACCCCATCGAAACACTCGCGATTCTCTACGTTCTGCCTCTCTCGCGATTCTTGCCCTAACTTTCCGGTGGTTGTTGTGGTGAGCTTTCCATTCTTCCTCTTCTTCTCTGTTCTTCGGCTCGATTTGGATCTTTGGCTCCGCCCTCTGTGCAGTGTTTCCTCGTCCTCTCGCCTCTGTTCCGATATTCTCTACCTTAACTATGTGACGTTTTTAATTTTGCAAACGCTTATGTGCAATGGTTTTCCCAGGTTTTCTGTCCTCTTATCCTTCGACGATTTTCGGTTTATATTAGATTTTGAGATTTTTTTGGATTTTTTGTGATATGCTCGGATGATGATTTGGGTTATTTATGCTACATCCTTTTGATAGACTTGGTTTTTGTTTGTTCTATTTTGTTGAACTTGTTGGTTGAAAGTTGGTGGTGGTGGTGATTGCATCTGCAATAACTTGAAAATACAAATGACTGATTTGAACGTATATGAGCCATGTGTTGTGTGGAGGTGGTGGTAGTGGTGTTGTGGATGTGTTGGTGTGTGGAGGTGTTGGTGCGTGGAGGTGGCGGTAGTAGTGTTGTGGATGTGTTGGTGTGTGGAGATGGTGATATTGGTGGTGTGGATGTGTTGTTGTGCGGAGGTGTTGGTGTGTGAAGGTGATGGTAGTGGTGCGTGGATGTGTTGGTGTGTGGAGGTGGAGGTGGAGGTGGTGTGGTGTGGTTTGGAGGCAGTGGTGACGAAGTTATGGCATTGCTATTCTACTTTGAGTTATGGTAAATATTTTTTCTAACAAATATTTAGGTTGACTGGTTTTTTAGGTGGATAGATGGGTTGGAGAATTCCACCGTCGAGATTAATCAGGCGTGGAGAGCTTTTCCGGAGGACGGGTTATCTCGTGATATACACCAGTTGCATTTTAAAAAAATATATTATCATATTATTAATTGTTATTTTAACATTCATTTTTTTAATTTTGATAGTCGTGTTACTATATAATGATGTGACAATTTTTATTTTAAATTGTTAAAATTGGATATTTGCTTTCAACTATGGAATGTGCTAGTAGAAACAGTTCTTTTGTAAACAACATTACAGTATGCGGATATAATGATCATTAGTCGAGAAACAACTGCAGCATAACTCTTTTAAAGCTGCAAAAAACAAATAGACAGTCAACTTCAACGCAGTAGCTTCTTGCCGAAGTTGTTTTGCAGTAGCTTTTAAATAAACTGCAGCTCCCCCACCCAGACCCTAAATTGAAGTGTGACAGTTATATAACAAACTAAGTTTTGAAAAATTCCCCCAAATGAATCCTAAGGGTATGTTTCAAATAGATTTATTTCAAAGAAAGTTGCAACTTTTTTCTTGCTTCTTAAAAAAAATTTTAGTTTTTAAAAACTAATAATGTTTAAACTATAAAAATGCTGCTATCTATTTTTTTTTTAACATAAAAAATTCATGATGCCCATAATCTTGAAAAACTCTATTTTTTTTTTAATATTTTTACATATAATTTTATAAACAGCTGCAGTCATAACAAATAATTCTTAAAACTCTGTTAATTTCTTTGAATAAAGTCCTCAGGTTTTATGGATGGATTGAAAATGCAAAAAAAAAAAAAAGACAAAAACTAATCTAAAGTTCCCTGAATAAAACTACGGCAATGTTTAATTTGTAGTAAACAGTTTACGGTGTAAATGTAATATATAATAGTTTTTGTGAGATCAGTTTGGTGCAAAATATCTGCATTCTGTTCTATTACACCAAACTATCTTACTTCACTCAAGTCATAAGAGCATGCATGACCGAACACCCATATTTATTGTCAGGAAGATTTACATACATACCACTCAATTCCTACATATTTATATATATCTAACACCTAAATTTCAATTTTTACATACATACCAACATACCTATGCATGAAAAGGTGTATGTCACTGCTTAAAAGTTAAAATAGTGGTATTTTATAAGAAAACAAAGTCTGGGTATTGGATATGTAAATACGTAAGAATTGGGTTTGCAAGGATTTTGTTTAGCAGTAAATATTTAAATATATAAATGTCAGTAGTGAGCCTGCGGTCTGTATTTTTGATTCATATGAACATAATCAACTCGCCATGCATGACGACCGCCCAAGCCAAGCTTTATCGAGGCTGGGTCAATAATAATTATTGATTAGTCACTCAATTTCAGCTACAAAGACTTCTAAATAAAGCTTTCCTATATGTAGGTCATGCATGATTCAAGAAATACATGATAACTTTAATATGAAGCAGATAAAATCTTTCCAAGAATTGAAGATATGGTATGAAACTATCAAGAGTAGATGCTGCTTTTCTTTTAGCCTCATTACATAAATTGTTTGCATACAATAGAGAGAAGAATCAAAATAGTCCCTTTACTATTTATTAGGGTAAAAAATTATATAAAAAATTCAATTTTACCCCCAACTATTTAAATATGTATTAAACTAGTCCTCATTTCTTTAAACGAGAACTGAAATAATTCTATCGGGGTTATTTTGGTTCTTTTTTATATTTTTCTTTTAGCCTCATTACATAAATTGTTTGCATAAAATAGAGAAAAGAATCAAAATAGTCCTCTTACTATTTATTAGGGGTCAAATTTGTCAAAAATTATATAAAAATTTCAATTTTGCCCCCAACTATTTAAATATGTATTAAAATAGTCCTCATTTCTTTAAACGAGAACTAAAATAATTCTATCGGGGTTATTTTGGTTTTTTTTTATAAAATATGTGGGCTAAATTGGCATTTCACATAATCTAAAATTATTTTGGCACCTACAAATAGTCAGGAGACCATTTTGAACCTAATATAATGAAAAATAAATTTCCTTTATTTTTTTACAAAATTACTCAATAAGCATTAGTGTTATGTGCTATGCAAGAACATGCCAAGATCTCGATACTCTCTTTGAATAGATGAATAGAGAAGATCTAGTCAGAGACGAGCTAAGCGTGAAAGATCACACTTTGCATCATTTGTTTCTGTCTTCATGTTACCTATAATGCGGTGTGATAGTTAAGACACACTCAACCGAGCTAGCAAAATAATGGTGACTGGCAGATTACAATAGACTCAACCATAAATTTCTACACTCACAATAACTACTTTTTCAGTTGTAAAGGCATCCTTATTGACCAAGTAGTAGAGACTCAATGCATGATTATAATTTTTGATGAGGCGGCAAGCTTATTGTTTATAGGAGAGAATAATGGTTCCTCACTAGAGCCTACATATAGATAACCCCTACCCAGCTGAAAGGAAGATCCCTGAGTCAATAATCTTTGCTTTTTTATTTTAGTGCTTTCCAAATAATTACCTAGTTTCCTTGATTCCTAAATGGCCCAAGTAGCTTCATCCCTGCTTTTTCTCTCACTCTACATCTATGTACTCGAATTTAGAAGCTAATAAGATCACTCTTCAAGGAGTTCCGTTTGCTTTTTTATTTTAGTGCTTTCCAAATAATTACCTAGTTTCCTTGACTCCTAAATCGCCCAAAAAGCTTCATCCCTGCTTTTTCTCTCACTCTACATCCAAGTACTCTAATTTAGAAGCTAATAAGATCACTCATCTTCTTCTTGCTAAACCCTCTTTGATACATTATCTTGATTCAAAGAGTTCCAGAAAAAAAAAAAACATTATGGTCAAATTGTGTTAGTCATAAGGATTGGCCTATAACATTCTGCCCACTAACGAGCAAAACATGAGTTGTTTGGGAATAATAAGCTTTTTTTATTGCTGATCATGCTAAAATTAAATTTCAGCAACTGAAGTCAACCTTGTAAGCGCAACACTAACCAAAATATGCCACTAACATGTATTTGAAAAAAAAAAACAATATGGTCAAATTGTGTTAGTCATAATGATTGGGCTATAACATTCTGCCCATCATTGGAGATCAACCAGACTTCAAATTCAGTGTAGTTACTTCCTCTACTCATCCACCTTCGTAACCTATACAGAGTTGGAATGTCACCACTTGACACAAAAATCACACTTGTTTCCCTAAAGTTTTGGGAATATCATATCTTTTGTGTAGAGAAGAAAAACAAGTGGGATAATATCATCATCTTTGCTTTAGAGGTTATGAAGGAACGCTCACTTCCAAATTTAAGATGCTTCATTTGGAGAGTTTTTGAGGCAACACCGATCTTATTGATCATGTTGTTGAACTTAATGACACCATAGCCCTCCACAATATTTTGCTACTATACTTAGCAAGATTTTTTTTGACAGACATAAAAAAACAAGTGGGATAATATCATCATCTTTGCTTTAGAGGTTATGAAGGAACGCTCACTTCCAAATTTAAGATGCTTCATTTGGAGAGTTTTTGAGGCAACACCGATCTTATTGATCACGTTGTTGAACTTAATGACACCACAGCCCTCCACCATGTTTTGCTACTATACTTTGCAAGATTTTTTTTTACAGACATAAAGTAGAATGATGGGAATGCCAATTCCCTTGCCTCCAATGGTAGGTTTGACATGATACACAACCATATGGCGCTCTCCAAAGGTAGTCCTCTCTAAATCATTAGAGCTAACTACCATACCAAGGACCAAGGATGTTTTTGTACCGTCTCCAATCATCTGATAGATGGTAGAGACCTGACTTAAATGATGTTAAGAAAATAATAACAATAATAATAATAACAATCACAATAGAAAATAACAAGGTTAAACCAATGTGTAGTTGTTGTTGCCTTATTTTACATGAAATCAAGCATATATCAAGTTTATGTGTCAAAACTCTCCAAGATAAAATCCATTGTGGATCACTTTGATTTTACTACCACTAATGGTGTTGGAGAAAAAGCGAAGAAAGGATGTGCTTAGCCATCCTCTCTTGAAAATCTTTGTAAAGCTACTTAAAGTATCTGGCTATAAACTAGCCAAGACTCTCAATGCCACCTCCACTCAAGCGATTGTAAAGGAGGCCGGTAAAGAAAATTAAGTCCTTCCTCTAACAATCTAGGAGGGGAGTATTTCAATCAACTACTTATCTAAGTAGCTCAAATTAGTCAAATATAAGAAAAATCAAGTACTAAAATTCTACCAATCAACATGAAGAAAAGAAACGGTGCTACAACAATTATCTGGTGCAATATGAGGTTTACTTGGAGATCCTTTGACATAACCACCTAGAAAACTAGGGTCGTGATGAGAATTTGAATATTGTCCCTTGAGTCTCTTAGTTAGCTTTCACCCTCAATTGATAGTATTCCAACTAAGTCCAAATAAAAAAAGACAACTCACTTAAAAAAAAAAAGAAAAAAATAAAAAACAATTCTTGTAAACATTTTTTGGTTTTTACCTATCTCTATTGCCTTAGTAATTCTTAAATGGAATGAGCAGAAGCCATAAAAGAGATCCACATAGGAAGAGGATAGAAGAGTTTTCAAGGGGTGAGAGAACTCCTTCAACGATGTTCACATGCACCCATATTTTTGTTCCTGAGAGGAAACAATCTTATGGAATATTGGTTAAAAGGTCTTCAGCGTAAACAAACATACTACAAGATAACTCCAACACAAGCAAAGGTATGCGGCATTTTGGTGAAGGAGGGAGTAGGGGGGGGTGATGGAATGCTGGAGGCTGCCGATGAGGGGTGGAGTTAAAGATGAATACATCACAAAATTAGTCCAGTTATGATTTTTGTAATTAGAAGACATTGACTAGATTCTCTATTATGGAACTAAAGATTGTGCTCTTTTGAACATTGTTTCCATATTGAAATATTTAGATATATAATCAAACTTATAACGTTATGATCAGTTTCCTTTATTTTTTTAAATTGTCATTAAATAGGATTTGCCTTTCAATTTTAAGATTTGTTTTCATATTTGTAATTTTGTATTAAAAATGTTGGTCACATCCTGGCAATCAAATACAATATTAAGTTTATTCAAAAGCTTAAATAAATTTATTTTTTTCTCATTTGACGCTTATGATTCACATCTTTAATAAAATGAGTAAAATTGATAATATATATTTGTTAAAATAATTTTTTATAAGCCTTAATGATATTTATTTTATGCAATTGGGTATTAAAATATTTAACTCATATAATTTGATAATTTAAGAAGGTATAATATTATAAAAATAAAGATCCCTGTATATAAAAATCGTCTAAGAAAATAAAGGCACAAAAAGAAGGAAAAGCTAGGCAACTTCTTGCTTGAAAATTCGTTTATATGCATCCTTTCAAATTACAGGGGTATTTTGGTCTAAATAAAAGTTTTCATGCATATTTCCCTAAGAAATGAAATGTTGGGCATATTTCTCTAATTTTAAGTACTATGGTCGCACAATTATTCAATTTTGAGGCTTATGCCTCACTCTACAGACAAAAAAAGCCTCAATGCCAAATGTGAATTTAATATCTTAGTATGGAACATGTAGGGCCTGCTAATTTCATTCATCGTAATGTTTCATGACTTTAATATGATCATGGAATCTCCTTCCTCCCAAAGTGTGAACCTCGGATCTTTTGGATTCAGAAGAGGATTAATAAGATATAGAGTTCTACCTTTCTTTTTAGAAAAATCTTCACTATATGAAATGACAAGGAATCACAATCCCTCGACATTCTCCTAATAAGCTTAGTTTGATTTTCACCATTTATGATGATCTACAACTAAAAAAAAATGAAAAATTTCGTATATGGAAAAGATAATAAAGATGACATATGTGAAAAATTAAAAAACAAAATAAGACCCTAACCTTTTTTGATATCATATAGAAGAATACAATTATTTTGAAAGCTTAGTTTGTTTATTAATCTGATAAGTATTTATGCACAAAGTTGCCTAGAAACTAATTAAAAACCTTCCAGTTCCACTAGCTAAAGAGCAATTCGTGGCACTCCTTTCTTATTTAGCACATAAGTTCATGGCACATCAGCAACTCAAACCAATTTCGTCTGTGTGTAGAGGTCGTATCAATAAATATATCTATTGTTATAAAGAATTTCAATTGGCTAATTAAGGCAATGACAAACTTGTAATTTCATAAAGCTATTAAGGATTCATAGAAGCTTCCAATTGGTGAACCGGGTCTACTAGGGAGGCCTAACTTTATTATAAATAGTGAGGAAGGCTTGTACAAAGGGGACCAAGGGAAAGCAAATCAATTGGTTAGAGAAAGAAGAGGAGAAACTTCAAGAATTGAGGGGGAGGATCTTGAAAATCTTGTATCGAGGTGATTCAAGAGAGAGATCATGACAAGATGAGAGCTCATTGATTTTGGAGATCTTGTATCGAAGAGATTCGAGAGAGAGATCATGGCAAGATGAGAGCTTATTCCTCAATGTAAAAGCCATGCAATTCTTCTTTATTGTCTTAGTAGATTTGATGGTTGATTTCTCTCCCGTGGATGTAGGTCCTATATACTGAACCACGTAATTTCTTGTTGGTCTTGTTTCTTGTTTGCATATTATCTTTGCTGCTGTTTTTTCGTTTCTTTTCCGTGTTTTATTGCCTGTTGCGTTTTCACTCTCCTTCAGCTGTAGAGAGGTGTTCGACATTTATTGTTTCTTCCTATTCGGCAGTCCAGTTCTTGATTTTCTTCAGGTGTTTGGCAGTGTAGTTCTTGATTTTCTTGAGGTGCAAAGTGATCCTATTTTTTCTTCAACAATTGGCGCCATCTGTGGGAAACCTAGCAATGACAATGGGAACTGCCAAATTCGACCTCGAGAAATTCACCGGAAAGAATGAATTCAGCCAGTGAAGAGTCGAGATGAGAGCTCTGTTGGTGTAACAAGGTGTTACAGAAAGTTCTGAGGTAAGTGTCGAGGGAGACGACGACTTAATCTCTTTGGGCCAAATTCGAACTACTCTATATGACAAAATCTTTGGTTAATTGACCCTTTTTTGAAGCAACGCCTGTACTCTTTCAAGTTGCATGAAGATAAATCCGTCTCAGAGCAAATCAATGAGTTCAACAAGATTATTAATGATTTCGAAAATGTCGTTGTCAGAATGGATGGCGAGGATAAGACACTGATGTTGTTAAACTCCATTCCTAAGAGCTACAATCATTTCAAAGATGTGATGCTCTAAGGAAGTGTGCAAACAATTTCCTTGAAAGAGGTTCAGTCACTGATTAGAGCAAAAGAACTTTAAAAGAAATATGACATGAACGAGAAAATCAGCATAGATGGTCTTATCGTGAGAGGAAGATCAAACAAGAAAGATTCAAGAAATGATCAAAATAGATCAAGATCGAGACAAGTAAAGAAGAGCAAGGGCTAGTCACTTCAAAAAATAAGAAGAGGCACAAAAAGAAGAATAAAGGCAATCAAGAGCTAATAATGTGCTACAATGACTCACACTTGGCTAACTAAGGCAATGAAAAACTTGTAATTTCATAGAAGCTGTTAAAGATTCATAGAAGCTTCCAATTGGTGAACCAGGTCTACTTGGGAGGCCTCACTTTGTTATAAATAGTGAGGGAGGCTTGTAGAGAGGTGACCAAGGGAAATCAAATCAATTGGTTAGAGAAAGAAGAGGAGAAACTTCAAGAATTGAGGGGGAGGATCTTGGAGATATTGTATCGAGGTGGTTCGAGAGAGAGATCATGGCAAGATGAGAGCTCATTGATTTTGGAGATCTTGTATCGAGGAGATCCGAGAGAGAGATCATGGCAATATGAGAACTTATTTCTCAATGTAAAAACCATGTAATTCTTCTTTATTGCCTTAGTAGATTTGATGGTTGATTTCTCTCCCGTGGATGTAGGTCCTATATACTGAACCACGTAATTTCTTGTTGGTCTTGTTTCTTGTACTCTTTCGGCCGTTAGAGAGATGTTTGATATTTATTGTTTCTTCATATTCGGCAGTGCAGTTCTTGATTTTCTTCAGATGCAAAGCGGTCCTATTTTTCTTCAACATATATATAAGGGCGTATCCCATTTGGGATCGTCTTTTATTCTTGATCATATCATATCATGTATATGTCCCAAAGTTCATATTCATCACCAAAATTCATAGCATTGTTTCGACAAGAAAGAGAGAGAGAGAGAGATACAAGTCTTGGTTAGTCACCTCAAATTCCTGCCTGCGTAGTTCTTCTTTCTTTGCCTCTGACCTAGAACTCCTTTGCACCTCAAAGACTACAACAACCCCAGCAACCTGGCAAAGTGAAAAAACCCATGATTTACACGAAATTTACTCATACATGTCAAGGGTACAAGTAAAAGGCTGACTGTAAGTTCTACCATAACTGAACAAGTGAACCACATTCTTAGTGTGTGGTGGGTGTTTAGTCATGCTTGTTTAGATAAAAAAAAAAGGAGAGGAATGAAGCATTGAAACAATATCACTAAACAGGAAATTGGGAACGAGTAGACGGGTTAAGGAAGAGAACCGAGAAAACAAAAAGCTCTCCGATGAGATCTGCAGCAGCTTGTACAGCCTTTTCTTCATTCAGGGGTCGTATTGCTACATCAGTTGAATGAGCATATATGTTCCTTTGTATTGTTGTAGTGAAACGATGGTTCATCTGAATATAGGTACAATATTATAACACATTAACACAGATAAAGCAAGTGCTTCAAACATAGAAACAACATCATATAAAACTTTCTAATTTTAAATAAAATATATGGTGTTAAAAAGGGCATTTCGTGTGTACAGAAATGTCCTCTCAAAGAAAATGACTAAGAAACTTCCATAAACTTTAAGAAATTATTCTATTGAGGGATGGTTGAAGGTGCCTTTATTGGCGATAGGACAGTTTAAAATAGATTTAGGGGCCATTTCGTTGCCCCGAATAGAAAAAATTGTTTTAAAAAATGATTATTTTCAGCGAAGAAATGAAATCATTATTTTATAAAGCTCTAGGAAGGTCGAAGCAAATGATGTTTTCAAGAAGTTTCATCATTTTTCAAAGCATGATTTCCACATCCAAGCAATCAAATGAGCACTTTAGTTGTTCGAAAATGTATAATGAAATAGAAACATGCTAACATTAAATGAATATATAAAATCAACGATGAAGAATTAGGAAGGGTAATGGGTAGACTAAGAAAAAATATGTACTTTCTTTAGAATATTTGCAATAATAGGTTTAAAATCTCATGCAATACTCAGTACGTGCAATAAGAAATGAGGATTCAAAAGGCTAGCTGAAAATGTTAGGATATGGCTAATGATGATGATCTAATATAACATCATTGTCACTCTTACAATCACCATTATTAACACAACACACACATTTCTTCACCACATAAACTTCCTAATCATTTAGCTTTAGAATATATTTTCTTCATTACACAACAATCCTATGCCCTTGCGAGACAATAGCTCTCATTTGCCCGCAAGCATGCAATCTTTCTATTTTCTTGGTTTCCTTTGCAATGTCTTACCCTATGACACTTCAACACACTATCCCTACTAATTATTTCAGCTTTCCTTTAGTCAATTTATCAATAAAAGCACCTCACAAGTGTTGAAATAAACTAAAAGTCAATACAAGTCTTTCATTATATTCATTTTTCTTCATGCTTACCAAAAAGGCAACACTTTTCACAAATTTTATGAATATAAGCATTTTTTTTTCATATTTATCATTATTCATTTACTGGTTTCAATTTAGCTCCTCTCCTGGGTAGTATATGTATAAAACGGTGCCTGATTCTTCCTAAATAAAAACTTAATTGATCTTCATTAGCTGACTTCCAAACATTCCCTAAGAATGCACATTAATAACAAGAACGGACTAAAGCTTCCAAAAATAACAAATAAACTCAATATCTCAATCAAAATCACCTAACATTTTTATCCATCAATATGTGAACTTTTCTTCTTACCAGCTAAATTCAAGCATAAACACTCTCATTCATCTTCCATTTCTCCTAATTCCGCTCTTTCTTCTTAAAAATTAAACAAAAGCCAAAAAACTGATCCGGATATCAGCTCAGAAAGCAATCTTTCAACCATTTCAGCAAAATAACACCACAATCGATCAGAGAAATCGAATTAAATTGCGAAAGTGAGTAAGAACAAATGTTCGATTAACCTGAGCAAGATTGACGATGAGCTCGCGGAACCTCGGGTGGACGCCGGCCTGCTGCTTAAGCCTGGAAGCGATGGGTTTTGCTAGGGTTCTTATGGCCAGGGTTCCCAACTTCATAAACGGCAGCATCATTTTGATGTTCCCCCTCACTCGAACGCCTTAAAGAGTTGCTGGTTGTTTATTTAGTTTCTTCTCTGT